ACCAATCGGTTTCCTCCATGGAGAACGATACACGAGAAGCGCCTATCTCCGAGACAGTCCCAGAACAAATTCTGGAGACTCCACCTCTCCTTTCCTCGACCACAGAAAAGTGACCACTCTCGTTCGTCAAAGAGGACAACAACTCACATCCGAAGACCATCAAACCAAGGAGATCGAAAAGTAACCCTTGGGTGACTCGATCGGGCCATTGGTTGATGAGCAACCGTTGGCTTCTCTCCAACACGACTCGATCATCTCCCTGGTTGACCTCTCTGTTTCTGCGAATCCCGCCTTGGTCGCAGAAGTGCAGCTGAAGCGCCCTCTCATTGCAGAAGGCGAGGGGCACAATAAACGTCCTAGACTCGAGGAAGCTATTGGCGGCACCCGTCCCCCCATCCACTCGTTGACCAAGGTTAGCAGTGCAGAGGTGTCGTCCTTTCTTAAGGACGTTCTTCTAGGCGCTGACCTCCATGATGACGATACTACGCTGCAAACCCGAGGGGATCGCATCGCCCGATGGCTAGCACATGTAACTCTCCTTCCCTTAGTATTATCTTCCTCGATTTGTTCCTTTGATTGCTAATGTATTAATCTTTTTTCTTATCGATGAACTTAGGGAATGGTCGAGTTGGCTTCCATAATCGACCAAACCTTGTCCAGCGCCACCCGATCTATTCCTGCGATCGAGCATCGGTCCTCCTCCTTCGAAATAAGCTGGATGACCTCGTCCATCGGAATCATGAGCTCCGTGAGAGGTTGAAAGATGAAGTGGTGCAGAAAAAGGCCCTTGAGGCTGAGAAGGAGACCCTCGAGGGGGCCATGAAGGCCTTTGAGGAAGCGCGTGAGGCCGAGCGGGCAGAGAACAAGGCTGTCGAGGCTGAGCGAGCGGCTCGAGAGCGAGAGAAGACTGCTTTCGAGCAGCAAAGAAAGCGCTTGGTCGATCAGACTGCTCTATGGGCTCGCCAAATGGTTTGGTCTACTACCACCGGGAAGCGCTTTCTCCAGGAGTACCACAATCAAGTGGTGATTGCCTTCAACCACTCACCACAATATTTAAACAAGGTGCAGGAGTACGGTACCCAATGTTTCCAACCATCCTGCAGAAGGCGGGTGAACAAATAGCCGAGGACGAGTTTGAAGAGTTCAACGTGGAGGCTATCTGGGATGCTTTTCCTAAGGCTCCTGCTAGCTTCCAAAGTGATCTTGGTTTGCCACTCGACCACGATTTGTTGTCGGGCCTCCTCAAGCTAACCCTGGATCAGGATGATATCTTGAGAAGGAACTTTGCGCTGCCCAATGGTGTTACTCCTCCGACCTCCATGAAGCCGGCGATGACCGAGTCTATCCACCAAAGACCCCTGTCTGATGCGGCCGAATCAACATCTGGCTCAAGTCAGCAGGTCGAGCAGCCACAACCCGAGCTTACCCCTGAGCAAACATCTCTCGAGCCCAACCTTAACGTCGAGCAGCCATCCTTACATCTCGACGGGCTTGCCTCTTGAGCATTTTGTAATTTTATTTGTGCTGAAAAGATTGTACTTTGTGTTTTGAATGAATGAATGATGCTTTTGACAATGTTTGTTGGATTTTCATGTCATTTTATTTGCTCATTTGAATGTTGTCATATCGCCCTGTATACTGCCTACATTGTTTGTGAACTTGTTCCCTTGAGCACATGCCCACCTTCGGAGAGGTGGTCAATACATGCGACCATCCAGCCTTTCTGCCGTAATCATGATGGATTTGACTCCCTTGAACGCATGCCCAGCTTTGGAGAGGTGGTCGATACATGCGATAATCCAGCCTTTCGGCCTTAATCATGATGGATTTGACTCCCTTGAACACATGCCCACCTTCAGATAGGTGGTCGATACATGCGACCATCCAGCCTTTCGGCTTTAATCATGATGGATTTTACTCCCTTGAACACATGCCCACCTACAGAGAGGTGGTCGATACACGCGACCATCTAGCCTTTCGGCCTTAATCATGATGGATTTTACTCCCTTAAACACATGCCCACCTTCAGAGAGGTGGTCGATACACATGCAGCCTTTTGACCTTAATCATGATGGATTTACTCCCTTGAACACATGCCCACCTTCAGAGAGGTGGTCGATACATGCGACCATCCAGCCTTTCGGCCTTAATCATGATGGATTTTACTCCCTTGAACACATGCCCACCATCAGAGAGGTGGTCGATACATGCGACCATCCACCCTTTTGGCCTTAATCAGATGGATTTTACTCTCTTGAACTCATGCCCACCTTCAAAGAGGTGGTCGATACATGCGACCATCCATCCTTTCGGCCTTAATCATGATGGATTTGACTCCCTTGAACACATTCCCACCTTCAGAGAGGTGGTCGATACATGCGACCATCCCTTGAACACATGCCCACCTCCATACTGTGACGCGTACCGCCACCGTGGTCGGCACAGTAGCCACTCGAGAAAGGCTATGCGTAACCTGCTGGACCGCTCGCGCAGCCGCATTCGCCACCATCTGCTGCATCTCCTGTCTGGTCATCACCACCTGCTGACCGGGGCACTGCTTCTCCGCTCGCGGCGGTGCTGCTCCCTACACCACCGCTCCCAATGGCGGGATCCCGGCCAGATCTGGCTGTAACAGCGCTGGAATCGCAGTCCCCTGCGTTGCGCGAGCCTCTTGAGCTCAGCTTGAGCCCACATCTATTTCTGGAAGACCGGTATAGCCCAAACCTTGAGGAGCAGGTATTGGGGTCACCGGTGTATGCAAAGGCTTGGAGAAGCCCGGAGGAGGGCCCTCTCCAAACGGCCTTGTCGTCGTCCAAGCTTCATCGAACGACGATTGTAGATNATATTTCATAAATATATATATATATATATATGTATATTATTTATTTTCAACAAGCAATAAAATAAAATATTAAATAAAAATTATAAATACTAAAGATATCTTAATTATATGAATAATTTAGTAAATGCACAATAATGTGAATTAAATCACACGTTATTAAATTTTTCTAAAACTGGAATGCACATAAAAGATAACCGATCGATGGACTGCACAATAATGTATACCAAATGCACATTAGTGTCCGTGTGAATGCACGTTACCGTCCGGGATAACTGAAATTTTAAATGTATGAAATTTTAAATGTAGAAACAAATAATCGACCAACATATAAAAGAAACTGAACCAAAAATTTAATTCGGTTGGTTTCAATTGCTATTGTGCATCTTGACATTCATTATTGTATATCTCATCGAACTCTATTGTGCATTTTGCAATTAGAGTATTTTTTGGGCCATTTTAAAATGTGGTATTGTGAATTATGATGAGCATTACTGTGCAACTAACGACTTTTATTAATTTATATATTTAGTCCACGAACATAAATGTAATATAGTTGAAATTTTTTATTTTGCAAATAAGTCCTTTTAGTTTGTCTAATTAACCAAAAAACAGCCCCATCCCTAATTTCTAATTTATAAGCTCTTCACAATTCAATCCATCGGCCCAAGTTCCTATTATGCAAATTCCCAACTGTGTACAATCTCGGCGGGTTATGGGACGGCTTCAACGACCCACGAGCGCCTCTCAAGAGGTCCTCGTCGGCAGAATCAAGGACGATTTGGCATAATCGGGATAGTTACTCGGCAACAATAGACCCGCCACATCTCAAGGACGCCGGTCTCGAGAACCGCGCACTTCCTCCGGATTCCATCACAGATGAGTTCTGCGAGCTGCATCCTCCGTTAGTTCAGTCGGCGAGGAGAAAATTGAAGGCCTCGGCGGATTGTTGTTGACACCCGGTATCTTGCCGGCATCTTAATGCCGGACGACGAAGCTGCAATGGAGAGGATGCACTGGTGGCGGCGGTCGTATCAAGATGAGGTCGGCGAAGACGCGTCGTCGGTTGATGGCGGTGGACGGCTCTGCTTGGTAGAGGTCTGCGTGTGTGTGTGTTTGTATTGTGTGGTTTAATTGTAACGTTTGAGAGAGAGAGTTTTGTGGTTAGTTTTGCGGTGGGGCCCATGAGTATATGTGTATTGTCTTCTTTACCCCCAGTAAGTGGTCAAATGTATATATATGACCACGAAATGAACACTTATTTACGACATTGTCATTACAGATTTGACTTCATATTTAAATTTTGACTTGATCAAGACCATTGATTTGTTGTATCCAATGGTGCATATTTATTCTTATTTCTTTTACTACCTCTCATTCTCATTTGAGCACACACACACACACACACACACACACACACACACACATATATATATATATATATATATATATGTGTGTGTGTGTGGGTTGGATCAATTAAGGACACCTCTTAAAATGAGTACGTGAGACTCAATCATAGTCATTGATTTTGCATTGATCAATGACTCATATTAATCAATTATAATACACATTAATTATATAATAAAAAATAATAATTACTATTTAAATTAATATTAGATTATTAATTATATCAAAAATAAATTATTTATAAAAAGCATATTCCGACAGTCGGTCACTGGCGGCTGGCCGGCGACTTTTACCTACTGCTAATGGCTGGCCTGCGACCCGTTTTCCAGCGACCCTCATCCCAGCGATCACGACAAGCCTCATCCCAGCGATACCAGCGACCACATTTTACGGCGACACCATTTTTGCGGCTGCTAATGGACGGCCCGACGTTGTCTTCTCTGGCCGATGCTCAGAAATCGACGTTTGTCTTCTCGCTGCAAAAGCCCGGCTCGACAGTCTTCTCTGTTGTTGCAACAATCCGACATGAAAAAGCTCCAATGGCATCAAAATATAATGGCCTTCTGTACCTGAATGAGCTCGGCATCGGATCTGCCGAAATGTGGTGCTCAGGGCGGAGATCTCGACGGAGACGGGGAAGGAGTGGGAGCAGTGGCGAAACCACGCTATGGCAAGGAGTGGCCTCGGCCATCCCATAATTTTTTTTTTAATAGGTATAGGGGCCGAGGTCGCCGGCCGGAGGCGGCGCCCTTCCATGAAATCTGCGCACAGGGAGAGGGAGTCAGGGATGGACAGTTGCTCAATTCGATCGCGGAGAGCTCAATATTGCCGAACAATGGTCAGGGCTTGGGAGAAGCCGCGGCCCGACGGAAATCGAGGCTCGATGTTGCCGGAGGTCAAGGCCCGTCGGAGGTTAGTGCAGCCCAGACGTCGCGGTGTTTCTGCACTATGCGATGCCGTCGAAAGCTTGGGCTTGTCGGACGATAGTCGAGCGTGCGAACGGTCGCCGGTCGGAGCTTTGAACGCCGGGAGATTGTCGCCGGCTACGTGCGCTCGAAGCCGCTGGAAGAGGTTCACCGGAGCGGCGCCGACGAAGGGCTCAACAGGGTCGTGTGGCTGAAGGCCGAGGGAGAAGGTGAATTTTTCGAGAAATTTTGAGAGATCAAGGGAGAGGCGTCGAGAGCGCTTAATTTCTGATCCTCCAGGCCTAAAATTTCAGATCTCCCAAGGTCGAGAAAAACGTAAAGGAGAGAGAGGGTTTTCTTGGAGGAAAATTAAGAGGAATTCAATGACATCAATTGTGGGCCATTACTCCATAAATGAATAATGTAATAGCACGGTTTTGGGGTCTCTTTGCCGGTCAAAATGGACTATTAAGGGCTGATGTATTTTTACCAAAATTAAGCTCTTTGATTTTAAAATTTGAAACAAAATATTGGGCCAAAACCATATTCGTAGGGTCAGTCTTTGAGGTAAATGGACCGAATTATAGACATCAATGGGTCACAAAATAAATATCCGAGGTTCGGGTTGAAGTGGCTCGAAAACGAAATAAAACGGATAAAATTTTGTTGTGGTCTAATGAAAAATCGGCCATCCCTTTATTCGGATTCTGGTTTCGCCACTGAGTGGGAGACCATGGCGGCCCACGCGAGCACCGCCGAGAACCTCGAGGTTTGAAGCAGCGCTGAGGGTGCTCCGCCGGAATATCACTTTCTCCACCACCGACGTAGTCTGTCACTGCCCACCACTACCACCATTACCAGATTTCGGCGTAGTTCGCCGAAAATCTTCAACAGGTTTGCCGCTGCTCATGAACATGAAAGACTGAGAAATTGGTTTCAACACCATCTTTAACATCGGAGAAGAAATTGGCTTATGTACAAACCAGCCGTCGGAGTCCAAATTGGTGAAAGAAATTGACCAAATTGTGGGATAAAGTTTGCTAGCGAAGCCGAGCGTGCCAGTAGAGACACTCTAGAAGTTGCTGGATTTCGCGTGCGGGGAGGTAGATAGATGGACTGGTTACTAGTAGCATTAATTTGACAAACATTAAAAATGAATTAAAAGCATTAATTTAAATTAGGCAGCATTAATTTATTTAATAGCATTAAAAGTACTTAGATTAAAATATGAACCCGATTTGGCATTTTTTTTAATCAACTGTCTCGGACTACGTCATGATCGGGCAGCTGTGATGTCATTTAGAAAGAAGAGAATTAATTTGTATAGGGCCAAAAAGCCAAAAATACTCCAAAAATGCTTTGTGGAGGGCAACTGTACAAATAAAAAGTCAAATCCAACCCTAAATTTAATATTTTTTTATTATATTTTGACTGCACATTTAATTGATACAAAATGCATATTTAGTTGATACGAAATGCATATTTAGTTCATTCATGATACATATTTAGTTCATATGAAATGCATATTTGTTATAGTTAAATGAAATATATTCATGATGCATATCTATAGTAATATAAAGAGGTTGATGGAAAAATACAAAAATAGTAAGGTTGACTTAAAAAAATAATGCTTTGACTTGCTAATTGAAGTAATTACTCTTTATCACCTTAAAATCGTTTGGAAAAATATAATTGCCATTGTTTTGTGTCGATATTGTTCCATTTTTTTTGGCGATTTTATTTACCAAAAAAAACATGATTATGAGCGAATTCAATGGGATTTTCTTTGACAATAAAAGATAGTGATTACTCCTTATCACCTCAAAATCGTTTTGGAATTATAATACATGCGGATTTTGTTCAAAATTTGTTGACCACGAATGATGCGGATTTTGGTAAAGAAATGTTGTGATTATCTTGCGGCGATATTGTTCCAATTTTTTTGCGATTTTATTTAACAAAACAACAGGATTATGAGCGAATTCTATGGGTATTCAAATATAAGCGTAATATGTGCAAAATTTCAGTCGATTTATAAATCTGATTCTCTTCAAAATTTGTTGCGATTTTCTTTCACAATAAAATCGGATTCTATGCGATTTAAATTGGTTTTTAATTGTAGGCGCAATTTGTTCAAAATTTCAGCGTAATTAACGGAATCTCTGACAATCATTTTGGAACTTTTAAACTAAAAAAATTAAAACTACCTACCAATTGGATTGAAATTCCGTGTATAGAGTCCTCATTTTTTAACCAACTCATCGATTTATTTTTTGAAGTAAATCCGATCGGATCCTATGGGATAATATTAATATCATTGTCAAAATTATCAAATATTGTCAAAAATTCCGTTAAAAATTATTGGATAATTCACGATAGTTTCATCGCACGGGCTTATATAAATAGCTCAAACTTTTCAACAGATATTCGACATCATACACATCCCACAAATCTATTTTTTCGACAAGCTTTTACAACAACATTCACAATGCCTTTGGATTTTGGAGTCATCAAGGATATCGATAGATCCAAAAAGCCACCCATGAAGCTACGCATTATTAGGATGTTCCAACGAGTCGAAGATGTACGCAATTATCGAAATGTTCTTGAGATTGTCTTTCATGATGTTGAGGTAATATGTTCTTTTATTATTATTTACATCTATATTTAATTTTAACTTTAAGACTAAATTTTAATTCAGAAATAATTCGGATTGCATCATTCAACGTGACATATTTTATATTTTATATCTCATATATTTAATTATTCAATTTGTATTTGTTTTAGGGTGTACGAATTACTGGCATTATTCGACCTGTCAACATCCAAAAATTCAAAGGCAATATTGAAGAAGGTGGTTTTTATATTTTGACAGATTATCAAGTTGAAAGTAATATCGGCATCTACAAATCGACCATAGGAAAATGGAGGATCATCATCCATGGCCAAACCAAGATTTTGAAATGGAAGGAGGAATTTCCATTTTTTCGTTTTGACTTTAGAAACTTTCTGACTTTGATGGATGTTCGTAACATTGAGGAAGCTATGTTGTTTGGTACGTTACATATATAAAAATATATATATATATATACATATATATATTCCGAATTTTTTTGAAATGCTTTAAAAAATTATTTGTTATGTTCAACATTTTAATATGATGCATTCTTTTATTTTTTGTAGATATCATTGGATTGGTTGTTTCAATACAACCAATTCAAATGAAGATTGTGAAGGGAGTTCCTACCCAAATGATTGTATTCTCTATTATGGATTTGGGGTAATATTTTGTAACCTTATATTATAACATTTTATATGACGTAAGTATTTAATGTATTTTAATTTTTTTGAATTAAAATTTCAATATTACGTGTGAACAAATAAAATATTCGTAGCACATTTCGGTTTATTTAAAAACACGTATCCACATTTTGTAGGGGTAATGTCAAGGAATGCACTGTCTGGGGTCGATATGTTGATCAGCTAATTGCTTTGGAGCGTCATTATGAAAACGAAAAAACACCTTTTGTCATCATATTGCAAATGTGTCGCGCACGAGAGTGGAGAGGTAATTAATTATGTTAATTTAACGATTTTTTCATTATGAAATGAATTTCTGATTAATACTAATTAGTTATGACAATATTTTGTGTAATAGGTAATGTTCAAATAAGCACGTCGAAGAACGTGACGTTGATCATTGGTGTGGATGTTCCCGAAATTGAAGATTTTCGGAGGAGGTACATGTTATTTGATGCTCCAATGCTTCCATTGGTTACTGTGTATCATCATATTAAAACTTATCATTGTTTATGTTATTCTACAACGTAGGCTGGCTATGACTGAATTTAAGGACACCAAATTGGTGTCAAGTAGCTCAATCATTGTGAAGACCGAACTACAAGGACTTGATGATGGTGACATTGTTGTTAGTTCTGTTGATTCTCTATTCGAGTATATTGAGGTAAAATAAATTGTAACTCTATTTCGTATTCTAATTGTAAAACTAATAATTATAATATTAATTATTATTATAATTGCCGAGATTATTTAAGATTTATTAATAACATTTTCGATAAATTAAATGATATACTATATATATTATAATCGAATTCATGTTAATGGTTATGTATGCATATTTTCTTTGTAGGTAATGGACACTTGGGTTTGCGCAAGGATCGATTCCATCATAGACCAATGGTGGTACCTTGCATGTCTTCGTTGTAACTCCTCAATGGAGGATGACAACGGGATATATTCGTGCCGGAAGTGCTCTTACAATCGTGGCACATTTCGGTTTGTTAATATTCTATACATTCAATTTTAAATATGTATATGTATTTGTATATGAACCTTATTAATGACAACATTAATCACAACTTTTTTTTATTTGTAGCTACAAAATTCAATTTGGTGTCTCGGATGCTTCCGCCAGTGCAACCTTCGTTTGTTGGGATAAGGATTGTCAAAATATCATTGGCAAAACTTGCGATGTTTTGAAACGTGAATTTTCCCAAAAGGTATATTCCGTTATATCTTATTTATTATTTATTGATTTATTGATATTTACATTTATATTTATATTTTACGGTCAAAAAAATGAAAAGGCATTGTATATTTTTATTTTATGGCAGAAGAAACCCATCTTTGAACTCCCCGATGAACTTGAAGATTTGCAAGGGAGGTCATATCTATTTAAGGTTCGCATTAAGCCGGATGACCCTTACAATCAGGGTTCTACTTTTACTGTGATAAAAGTTGTCGTTGACGAACGTTTGGTTTCCAAGTATAGTCAATGGGTCGTTGAGTATGATGTAAGTCTTATTTGAATTCGGATAATTTATTATAACCTTTATTCAAAATTATAAATTTTAATTGTGTTCATTTTATATTAACGTATTTGGTTTTTTCTTTGTATATAATGTAATATAATATTAATTTTTTTTATAGGATTCTGATTTCTTAACTCTCTTACTAAGAGATGAGGCTGCACATGGAATGGTATACATCTTTACCACAATGATACGATTTTTTTTTTTTTTTTATTTCATAATGAACTGAAATATGAAACATTATTTTCATTAAGTATATTTAATTGAATTATTGTAGGATCCCACGTTGGAAGATGAGGTATCGACTCCTGTGAAGGTTGTTCAATCCAAGGAAGATGTTGATGGAATTGCAAAACGGAACCTATCTAATCAATTTGCTGCTGAGTCCGTTACAAGCAATAAAGGGAAAGCAAAGGTTGATGATGATGGGAATTTGATCGAAGAAAAAGAAGACTGATTTGATGAAATTGCATTTGAAGAGAGTTTTTCAATTAGTTAGTTTTAAAAGTTAAATCGTTGTTTATTCATTGGGGTTTGATAAATATGCATACATTTCGTTGGATTAGAGTTCCGTAATTTTTGTGTTTTTCAGACATTTAGTATTTCATTTCCAGCCTCTAGGTAACATATAGTTGCCGAGGCTTTTTCTTCATAATATAATAAATTGAGTTAGTTTTATCATTCTATATGTTGATTTTCAGCAGTACGGATGTTCACTTATTAGATACATATCAAATTAATCTATAAACTCTTCGGATAAAGGGTTTAAACAATTATACTGATAAGCACTCTCTTATATGGTTGTTATCGATATCTATCATTAAAAACGGATAAATAATCCGATAATTATTAAAAATTATCTAGGACTGATTTATAGATGAAATCGAATTGGTAGGTAGTTTCCACAATCATCAATATCTTGAAGCTTAATAGAATAAAAACCTTTTGTTGTTATATATCTACAAACCAATGTGAGAGAATCCACACTATACAAAATACTAATTGTTGTTATAGATATATATCTATTAAAATTATAACTTTTCATTAACCATTTGAAAAATATCTACCGTCGATAAATAGACTCCTCAATTTAAATAAAAATGGAATAACGCATTTTTTAATTTATCGATCAGTTGTAATTTTAATGTGGTAAGATGATATCTATTAAATTATTAACAATAATATCTCTTACGGATATTATTTCCACCGATTTAATTGTAATCCAATGAAACTAAATATCTAACGTAGAGTAATTAAAGTAAAAAAATATACTACACGATTTTTACTCAACCCAAATATTCTCGCAGATAGAAACGAATCTAAGTTGTTATATAAAATATTATATATTCTATATAATCAATGATATATATATCCATTAGTAATTTCAAATCTGCGAGATTGATTCTACACCAAACTCGAACAAGGATAATATCAAATCTTTGCCTCAATAAAAAACTATAAATATATATCATATAATATTCTCAATAGATTTTATCTTATATATAATATAAAATATATTAAATCTTCGGAAAAATGGTAAATTAATATATCAAATCTTTAATATATTCATTAACTTATGGGATATCTATAAATACCTCAACCATAATCTCAGCCCATGCAGTTATAAATCGTCCATAATAAAACAACTTAGATTCGAATATACAATCCAAAAAAATCGAAAACATGGATCAACCATTTGGCTTAATTCGACAGATTCAGAGGAGTAAGAGATTCATGCTAAAAGTCCGAGCAATTCGTATCTTCGAAAAATCATTTGATTCCAATTACCGAAGACAATTGGAGATCGTATTTCACGATGAAGAGGTTATTTTAGTGTTAACTATAGATTGTTCAATTACTATGTTTCTTATTGTGGCCTTATACGAATGTGTATTGTTTCTTAGGGCACTCGCATTAGTGGTATTATCCGTGGCGTTCATTTATCTAAGATGGCTGGCTATTTCCACGAATGTGGCATATATAAAATCCGGAACTACTATTTAGACAGCAACATCGATAAGTATCGATCTACTGCTGCAAAATACAAACTCCTTATTCATACCGATACAGAGGTTCTAGAAATACACGCATACTTTCCTTCGTGGCATTTTCAATTCCGTAGCTTTGCCGACTTTCAAGATGTTGAGAATGTTGATGAATCTTATCTTTTTGGTAATTTTTTTAATTTATTGTCAATTTGGTGTATACATTAATTATTTTATTGATAACTTGGATCATAGATATCTTAAATTAACATTCAATTAATTACAATGTAGATGTCATTGGTATGGTGATTGAAATTCATCCTGTTCAGTCTAAATGGGTTCATGGACAAAAAAGCCAAATGATTGTCTTTTCCCTCATGGATTTAAAGTAAGTATATATATGTATTTAATGCCACAAATTGTGAAAGAATTTGTTGTTGATAATATATTATTAATCGACAATTTCTTTTTTCAGTGGAATTGTTATTAAATCCACACTCTGGGGTCATTATGTTGACCAACTCATTGCTTTTGAAACTCACTTTGAGTCCGAGGCAACTGGCGAACCATGGGTGCTAATTATGCAGCTTTGTCGGGCACGATTTTGGGAAGGTATATGCGAGTTATGTTTTAATTTGGGCAAAATTAAATGTACATTATTTATTTATGTTTAGTTAATTTTTAAAATACATTAATGAATTTATTTATTTGTATTTATATTTATATACACCAGATGAGGTTCAATTGGCTACCCATATGAATGTCACCCGTCTACATGCCGTTGCACCATTTCCAGAATTGATTGATTTTCGGCGGAAGTAACAATTACATTTATTATAATATATTTGCATATATCATCTTATTTTTATTTATATTTGTATATACATATTATACAACATAATATTTTTTAATTTGTATTTTTTATTATCTAAATATTGTATATATTTTGTGTATAGATTTTCAGCAAGCCCATGGGCCAAGAAGAGTAAATATGTCACCAATAGCAAAATTGTCTTGAAGAGTGAAATGGAAGAGCTAGAAAATGGTGATTTGGTAGTTAGTTCTATAGATTCTCTATTTGACTCTGACGAGGTATTATTTATTCTCTAGATTTTTTCACCGAATTCAATTCTTATACACCTATTTATTTGTTTAATTTGTTTAATGTAAAAATAGGAGGTCAAATGTTGGGTATGTGCTGCAATTGATTCAATTGTGGACGAGTGGTGGTACCTCGCATGTAATCGTTGCAAAGGCAAGGTGGCTGATGAAGATGGGAAATTAAGTTGCACCAAATGTGCCCATAATAAAGGTGTTTTTAGGTGTGTGTACTTATCAATTCCTTATTTTACTCTATATATTCATATATTTTAATTTTAGATATTAAAGTAAATATCTGGAATGCAATTATATTATAAAATCTTCAATGAAGGTACAAAATTCATTTGATTGTGTCGGATGCAACATCAAGTGCAACATTCGTTTGTTGGGATAGGGAATCTGAAAAGATTATGGAACACCATGTGAGGTCTTGAGAAATGAATTTCTTTACGAGGTACGAAAATCTTATATATCCTTCTTGAACAATTTTGTTTAATTAACTTAATTCGAGAATGATATTTTAAAACATGTTCTTAAACAGCATCCCAATAGCTTTGAACTTCCTGAGGACGTGTCGAATTTAGTGGGTAAGACGATCCTTTTCAAGGTTCGTGTTTATCCAAAAAATCCATTAGGGTATGCTGCTTCATTTCCAGTCGTAAGAGTTGTTGCTGACGAAACTTTAGTCTCCATGTAGTTTGTGGAGAACGAGGTAATCAAATAAATGTATATAAATTATTTGTATGTAGATATTGAAATAATAATTAATTATATATTTATATAAATTATTTGTATGAGATATTGAAATAATAATTAATTATAGATATAGTGAAATAAACGCGATTAATCATTTATTATTTATATATGTAGGGATCTGACTTTCTTACCATACTGCAAAGGGAAGACCACGACAATGGACTGGTTTGTATTGGTCTCAAAATACATTTTTGGCTTTATATTTTATATTTAATTTTATTTATTTCTTTTATTATGCTCATGCAGGATGCAACTTTGGATGATGAGGTTTCTACACCAATAAAGGTTTTTCAACCTATCGAAAAGGGTGACACGTCCACAGCAAAACGGAAGCTTCTGAATGATTTATCCTCAACACCCAATGTAGATCAATCTGGTGGCTCAGCAAATGCCGATACAGAGAAGGGGAAGATTGAGAAATTGGACCCCAGTGGAGTACAATTTGAGGATGTCGCTGAAAATTGAGAGACAAAGGCACCATAACATATGGTGTTTTATTTTACTATTGGATTGTTATTTCTTATTCGGCATATTAAATAAGTTTGAATAATTTCTTGATTCGTTTGATTGGCAGCTTTTTTACGGATTTGATGAACAAATTACGTTTTTTTCGCTTTATATTTTGAATAATTTCTTGATTCGTTGGATTGACAACTTTTTAACGGATTTGATGAACAAATTATGTTTATTTCGTTTAAAGTTCTAAGATGAGTAAGTTTATTGTTTTTTAGGTTCTATATTTATATATTTGTCACTTTATTAGATGGTAATAAATATAGGTTGTGATGATTCGCCAATTATATTATTATTACATTAATACATTTTTTATCTCTGATACTTAAACCCAAACTTTGTTTAATATATTCAGCCCAAACTCATTTACTGTCGGGTTCTGGATAAAATTATTAACTATAAATATTAAATAATAATAATATAAACAAAGTTAAAAAATAGATGTGTATTGTATAAATTCAGATTCATATAAAGAAAAAAAATATAACAAGTCCAATATATCCGCATATACGATTATACCACTCGGATATAATTTTTTTTTTTTATATATTAATCTTACACAATCCATAAAGATTGTGAACATACTAATCTTTGTTATATATACCTTTTTTAATTTACCTATTAATTTATGCTGTACAAATTATGGAAAGATATCAAATATTTTTGACTATTACGATTACAATCTTCTAATTTGGGCAAAAAAATTTTTAATGTGCTTCTCATATCGTTTTTAAATCGTGTAAAATAATATCTAATAGGATAAGTATCTCCTAATATTCTATACAAGATATGGAAAATTTGTGCATATCTTTTAAACCTAATACTTATCTAATCCCCTTACATACACAGAAACATAATTTATAGTTCAATTTAGTGCGAGGATACATGTTATATGAAAAACATCACATAGCAATCAGCTGTTGAATCACCATACTCATTCACATTAATATTCAGAGATTGTAACAAGTAATCTCACAAGATAGACTTGCGTAAGCATATAGAGATATTGAGTGGCAGTTTTGGATGATGATCAACACATTTTTCCATTGTATGTGGCAAAGAATACTACACAAAGCTTCAGACAATCGTATATACCAGGTATTTGTTCACATTTACATTCAACTATATTTGTAGTTTAAATATAATTTGTTTGGGCTGTGGATAAAAAAACCTTAAGGTGTATACTAAGTTTTGGTTATTCATAATTAATTTTTGTACTTGATATTTGACAGATTATATAGAGTATTTCAAGAGACATCATTACTGAATTTGAAGACCAAAAACAAGAACATATAAAGATGCAGAATGATAAACCTTTCAAGTACAATGGAAAAAGCATTAAGCAGAGCAACAGAGATATGGGCAAAGAAAACGTAAAATCAGGTAATGAAGTGTAATAGAATAAAATACATACCTTTCTTCCTGTGTTGTAGCCCAGCAGATTTCTTATTTCACCCTTACCTTTTACTTACTTTTGTGTTCCGCCGCATTCTCAGTGTGCAACATTCGTGTGAACAAAGAAAATTAAAACTGTGTAAGTATTAAATTTCATAAATATAAAGATTTGTACAGATCAAATTTTTTAAGGCATACGTGTATTAAACTTTTCCAAAATTGTAAAACAGACTCAAATTTACCCAAAATTTTTGAATTATATTCGGATTGTCTGAACAAGTTTGTTTTCAACTCTAATTTTCCATAGTTTCGATCAAGAACGGTTCTCATTGGGTATGTGAAAACAATTACAAATTAAATGAATTTTTTCGCTGAAATCCTTAAAGAATCGAAGACAAAGGTCGGACTTGGTCAAATTAATATCAAGAGATGATAAATCTAATTAATGTTTTAATACCTTTTTCGTGTTCCCAGCCTTGCGTGTATCTTCTTTAAGACAACCAAACTATCAGTGAGGATCTGAGAATTTTATTAATCATTTAGAAAATTAAACATATTTGATTGTAAAATTATTTACGAAAAAAATATTAATTGAATTAACAATTGAGGAAACTTAAACAAACTGAGAATCTTCGGCTACAATCTTACCCAATAAAAAAAATCTCCGGCGACGGGGACATTACCCCAACTCAGGTGATGCGGATATTAAGCTTAAGATAACTCTCGCGATGTGGATCTTACCAAACTCCATCGGAATCTGCAGGTTTGAGTGTAAAATAATGTAAGAAAAAAAAATGTCAAAGTGATTAAACTTTTGAACAAAGCTAAAGAAAATGAAACAATTCGGTTAAAATCTTACCAATTTGGTAAACCTCCGGCGATTCGGATCTTACACAAACACCGACCATGCAGATCTTAAGAGAAAACATACTCTGCCGATGCGTTCTAACCCAAACCGTTAGGTATCTTGGTTTATCCGGTGATAATACGCAATTAATAAACAAAAAAATACAAAATCAAGAGAAAAACGGAAAAATCGAACATAAAATTACATGATTACCTTACATATGGATCGAATCGATATATGTGAAAAAAAAAAAATACAAACAAAATATCATTTACAACATCGTAATCATATCGATTGATCCCACAAATTACATCAAATTATAAAATTGAACTAAACAAAGAGATAGCATAAAATGAAAGCCGAAAATCGGAGATGGAAGAAGTGTGTTGGGGCGGTGGAAATGAGGTGAGACACAAACCCTCATTTCCGATTTTTTTCGGTTTTATACTCCTTACAAAGTTTGCCTGACCGTCGATTTTCGATCAGATGATCTCCACCGTCCGCTCATTTTGAGTTTAATAATTGGGCCTTTTTAGTGTTAATAAATAAATTGGCCTACCTCATGCTGTTGGGCCAAATAGATAATGAATAATGGACTAGATTGAGTCCAAATTAAATTAATTGTTACATAATATGGTTTTAAATTCTGGCCCACATATAATTTGTTTGAAACATTATGGTTACAAATAGCCCACACTTGACTACTAATATATTTAGATGTCATAATTTATATACACTATTATTATTATTGTTTTTGTATTTATATATATATATAAATATAAATAGATAAATAGATATTAGAGATTTTAGATATTTAACATTGTATGTAATAACTTATCAATTGTAATTGTTATAATAATACTAAATATTAGTCAATTACTTGATTATAAAATATAATAACATCTGGTTATATATATACACATATGCCCACACTTGACTACTAATATATTTAGATGTCATAATTTATATACACTGTTATTATTATTGTATTTGTATTTGTATATATATAAATATAAATAGATAAATAGATATTAGAAATTATAGATATTTAACATTGCTAATTGATAAGTAGTCAAATAAGTAGTCTATTTATCTATTTATATAAATATAAATAGATAAATAGATATTAGAAATTTTAGATATTTAACATTGTATGTAATAACTTATCAATTGTAATTGTTATAATAATACTAAATATTAGTCAATTACTTGATTATAAAATATAATAACATCTGGTTATATATATACACATATGCCCACACTTGACTACTAATATATTTAGATGTCATAATTTATATACACTGTTATTATTATTGTATTTGTATTTGTATATATATAAATATAAATAGATAAATAGATATTAGAAATTATAGATATTTAACATTGCTAATTGATAAGTAGTCAAATAAGTAGTCTATTTATCTATTTATATAAATATAAATAGATAAATAGATATTAGAAATTTTAGATATTTAACATTGTATGTAATAACTTATCAATTGTAATTGTTATAATAATACTAAATATTAGTCAATTACTTGATTATAAAATATAATAACATCTGGTTATATATATACACATATGCCCACACTTGACTACTAATATATTTAGATGTCATAATTTATATACACTGTTATTATTATTGTATTTGTATTTGTATATATATAAATATAAATAGATAAATAGATATTAGAAATTATAGATATTTAACATTGCTAATTGATAAGTAGTCAAATAAGTAGTCTATTTATCTATTTATATAAATATAAATAGATAAATAGATATTAGAAATTTTAGATATTTAACATTGTATGTAATAACTTATCAATTGTAATTGTTATAATAATACTAAATATTAGTCAATTACTTGATTATAAAATATAATAACATCTGGTTATATATATACACATATGCCCACACTTGACTACTAATATATTTAGATGTCATAATTTATATACACTGTTATTATTATTGTATTTGTATTTGTATATTTATAAATATAAATAGGTAAATAGATATTAGAAATTATAGATATTTAACATTGCTAATTGATAAGTAGTCAAATAAGTAGTCTATTTATCGTAATAATAAATATCAATCAATTAATTTATTTCATTTAGGAATACAAAATATAATAACATTTGGTTATATATATATAATATAATATATATATATGTGTGTGTGTGTGTGTGGGTCTATATGATTGCTTTATTTTATATATGTGTGATTATTTTTGCATTATTTCTTATCCGACTAATTTAATAACATGTGCAAATGACCATAGTATAACTCCATTTTGTAATGTTCCTACAAAAGCACCACAGAATATTATTATTGATCTCACCAGTGAAGATGACATTGAAAACGACATTGTACCTACTTCAAGTACCACGACGCGTGTTGTTAGCAACTGCACTAATTATGTAGACCTACAGCCAAGTACACAAAAACAAAAACGTGGTCGTCCTAGGAAAACACCATTATCGTCAGGAGTATCTGGTCAGTTTAATTATGATTCTAAATTTGTTATATAGATTTTTTCTAATTATCGTCCATCAATTTGTTTAAATAATATTTTTTTACAGGGCCAAATACGATGAATGTGCATGGCCGTCATCTGCACACTCAATCATCGTACAATGTGATGAATAGTTTACGTGATTCACCGCTTTCTGACATAACAAATGGTACGTTTGTTTAAAATCAAATA